CTCCAAACTGTTTGCATACATCTCTTTGTCTGGCTGTTCCCCCTTACCCCTCCCTTCCAGACAACTGTTACAATAAACTCTACATAAGCTTGTAAGAAAACGTTCCCAATCTTTGCGACCTTGAGTTAGACGCCTGCAAACTAACTACCCCGCTTCTTATCTCTATTATTTCTGCTAGTGTGAGTGAAACTGCAGCCATCTGCTAGAAACGCTGACATTACATTTCTGCTTCAGCCTACTTCAGAGCATGTAAACAGTTAGCATAGAAGTAGGTGAGAGTTCCCAAGATGGAGTCACTGTGGTTCACAGACCCAGAGCAAAAGAGCTTCATCGGCACTTTTGGCCTTCCACTCTCCCGAGTTACCTGGTAGCTATGCCTAGTGGACCCCAACAATCCCTCCTTTGAGAACACTCAACAAACCTTTGTCAGAGTTTTCTCATACTCTAAAGACAGAATGCGATTAAGCTCCATGCAATCAGGATTATCAATGAGAGAATATAAGGGAACTTCTGGGGTATGGGAGGTACAAATCTTACGTATGAGCACTTTAGAGCAAATGAGCAAAAGAACAAGAACAAAACATACCACAACACCTGTGAGCAAGATGCGAACAATGCTTCCCCCTATGTCCTCTAGTTCTTTTAAACCAGGTATCCAACCCCAAAGGGAATCCAAAATAGTGGGTTCTCTTTCCTGGGCCTTCCACTGGTTAAAGGCCCGTTCAGCTGACAAGATGTGCTTGTTAATGTCCTGTGAAAACTCTGGGACATAGGTACAACACTCTTCTCCAGTAAGGGCACATACAATTACAACAACCCAAATGCCCAGAAGATAAGAAACAAATCAAAAACTAAAAGGACCAGGACCATAGGTGAGATCGGCCTTCTGTGAGAAAATAAAACCAATGCTCAGGGTTCTCGCGGGGAGTATGCTGTGACTGTTCAAAAAGATCACAACGCATTCCCAGTGATCCTTACTGTCTTTTGAATAACAGCTTAAGTCCCAAATCGTCGTTAGCAGTCTTCTCCGCAGGCTGGACAGTCCACTGTTCAGGAGCGGGTACTGCTTTCAGTCGAGAGTGATGAATCCAGTTCTTGTGTCCTTCGACCTTTGCCGCTGTATGGGTGACAAGCAGGACGGTGTGGGGTCCCTTCCACTTCTCTTGGAGAGGCTCGTCCTTCCAGGTCCGCACGAGAACGGAGTCACCAGGCTGCAGGGAGTGGACTGGAGTATCCAGCAGAAGAGGCTGTGAATCTTTGGTGTACCTGTGAAGAGAAGAAAGAACAGCAGACAGAGAGCACATGTACTGAGACAAGAAACCACACCCCACTTCCCATTCCCCTGCCAGAACTGGGGTACCATTCATAGGCCATGCTCTTCCAAACATAATTTTGAAGGGACTAAGCCCTATCCTACCCTTAGGGAGAGCACGAATGCGAAGTAACACAAGAGGCAAGGCATCAGGCCACTTAAGAGAGGCCTCCTGACAGACCTTAGAGAGGTGTCGCTTGAGTGTCTGATTTGTGCGTTCCACTACTCCATTGGCTTGTGGTCGCCAGGGTGTGTGGAGCTTCCAGGGGATTTGCAGAGCACTTGATATCTTTTGAACAATTTGAGATGTGAAGTGTGTTCCATTATCAGATTCCATCCACTGAGGAAGGCCGAAGCGAGGAATGATTTCCTTGACAAACTTAAGAGCCACTGTCTTGGCAGTGTTATTGCGACATGGGAAGGCCTCAGGCCATCCACTGAATTGATCCACTAAGACGAGAAGGTACCTGTACCCTTGGGTCCTGGGAAACTCAGTAAAGTCTATTTGCCACACCAATCCTGGGCCTGGGGTAGGTTCCAGGGTGGCTGGTAACACTGCTACTCCTGGTCGAGGATTGTTCTTTTGGCAGATTAAACATTCAGCTGTTACCTGTGATGCTAGGGGTTTAAGTCCAGAGGTTAGAAAATATTTATTCATAAGCTGGGTAAGAGCCTCTCTGCCTGCGTGTGTGGTTTGATGCAGATTCTGCAACACTGGTCGAATCAAGCCCTTGGGCAGGAGGATTTTTCCCTCTGTGGAATAAAGCCATCCCTCCTTTTCCTGGAGACTGAGACTGTCAGCCAGGTTTCTGTCCTCTTGGGAGTACTGAGGGGCTGCAAGCTCACCCACTGATGGGATGAGGGCATGCATTTGGGCATTCTCCTCAGTTGCTGATTTCAGGGTAGCAGCTCGCTTAGCTTCCCTGTCTGCTCTGGCATTGCCCTTGGTTACATCTTGATCTTCCCTTTCATGGGCTTTGCAATGCACCACTGCTACAGCTGAGGGGAGTTGTACTGCTTCTAAAAGCCGGGGAATTTGAGCCCCATGCTTGACCGGAGAGCCTTGGGCTGTTAGCATCCCCCTTTGCTTCCACAGACCAGCGTGAGCATGCAATACCCCAAAAGCATACTTTGAGTCAGTTAAGATATTAACCTGTTTGTTTTTTGCCAGCTCGAGTGCACGAGTCAGGGCCACTAGTTCAGCAAGCTGGGCAGATGTTCCTGCCGGTAAACTTCCAGCTTCCACGGTATCATGAAGAGACACAATAGCATAACCAGCCCTTCTTTGCCCATCCACAATGGTACTACTGCCATCCGTATACCATTCCAAGTCAGCATTTGGGAGTGGCTGATCTTTTAGATCTGGGCGGCTAGAATACTGAACATCTATGATTTCTAGACAGTCATGTTCCTGCTTTTCTGTCTCTGGTAGCAGTGTAGCTGGATTAAGGGAGGGACAGATCTGCAGGGTGACTTCAGGAGTCTCTAACAGCTTCGCCTGGTACCGAGCAACCCGAGCCTGTGTGAGCCAAAGACCACCCTTAGTGTCCAGCAAGGCTCGGACCATATGGGGAACATACACTTGCACAGTTCCTCCCAGTGTCAGCTTTTCAGCTTCCCCAAGCACTAGAGCAGTAGCTGCGACCGCCCTCAAACAGGCTGGCCATCCCTTTGAAACTTGAACCAGTTGCTTAGAAAAGTATGCCACAGGACGTTTCCAGGCACCTAATAGCTGAAATGCCCTGTCCGCTTCTGGGGACCAGTGAAAGGGGTCATGATCCGCTCCCTTAACACATTCATACAGAGGTTTAGCCCACAGTCCAAACTCTGGAATCCATATTCTGCAAAAACCTGCCATGCCCAGGAATGCCCTAAGCCGTTTACAGTTGCTGGGGATGGGAACTTGGCAGATAGCCTCCTTTCTCTCGTTTGAGAGCTGTCTCTCTCCCTGCCTGATGTGAAATCCCAGATATTGAACCTCTGAAAGAGCAATTTGGGCTTTGCTTTGAGATACCCTGTATCCTCGCAGTCCAATAAAGTTTAGGAGACTCACAGTAGCTCTGAGACAAGGGATTAGACCCACAGCAGCAATTAACAAGTCATCTACGTATTGCAGCAGGAGGGCTCTGTCTGAATTATCCCACTCCTCCAAGTCTCTGGCCAAAGCCTGTCCAAACAGAGTGGGGGAATTTTAAATCCCTGGGCCAATACTGTCCAGCAAAACTGCTTTTTAACCCTTCTGTTGTCCTCATTATGCCTTGCAGTATTTTGCAGATCTCACAGTTGCTTGGGCACATTCAGGCCCCCCTTTCTCTTGGTTGTCAGCCAAGTCTTGGCTGTGAACAATGTCCTTGGATAGGGCCAGCATGACTGAGCTTGCTAGCTATATTTTCCTCTCAGTTAACTCATTCTGTTCTCTTTTTCCTTCTCCCTTTCTCAGCTTCTTCTAACTTCCAAAGGAACCTTCCGCTCTTCACTTATACACCTTTTTTCCAACCATTAACACATACTCATTGCCATTATACATCCTTTCCAGTAGCATAACTTCTGTACAGAGCTTTGAAGCAACAAACCAGGATGAGCACACTCACTTTTGAGGATTCCACTCTGTACAACCTCTGGTGTCCAATAGCTTTCCCTTTAAACCTTAAATGCCTTCTCTGTCTTCCTCCTTACCCTTAGCTATAACCTGATTCCGCTCCACTTCAGACAACAGGGTTCTCATAAGTATATTGCAATCATCCCAGTCAGGCTTATGGCTAGCTAGACACCCTTCAAAGATAGAAATGAACTTGCTTGGATTCGTTGAGAATTCTCCTGCCTCTGCCTTAAAAGCAGCCAGATGTACTGGGTTAAAAGAATATACAGACACTATCTGAGCTGGCCGTTCCTGAGTTCCTGGACGGGCTACCACACTCTCCGTAATCAACGGATACAATCCCACGGGGTGTGTGGGGGGGTGGGTACTCTCTGGAGCCTGTGGGGGTGGAGGAGCCGAAGGGGACACCGATTCTGGCATTACAACAGTGGGAGGGTTCTGGGGTTTAGCAGCCGTTACTACCGAGCCTGTCGGAGTTAAATGGCACTTGAGCAAAATATCAGTCCTATTTCTTAACACCATGAACGTATACGCATAGAGATGTTCATTCCATTTACCTGTTCTCTGACAGAACAAAAGCAATTGAAGGATCGTGTTGTAATTAAGTGATCCTTCCGGTGGCCACCTTTCTTGGCACTCTAGCTGGTACTGAGGCCAATCAACTGTACAGAACCTTTTCAATTTACTTTTAATCAACTGATCAGATCCAAACACTTTCCAGTTCACCAGAATGCATTCTAAGAATGTACACTGTACCCTGCTGGCTGTACTCTGTCCCTGCCCCATACCAAGGGAGACTCTGGGCGTCCCCTGGTCACAACAGGCAGACACTGGGCGTCCCCAGGTCAAAACAGATAAGTCCCCACTGGACTGTTCCTACCTTATCCATACCTCACCTTGGACTGTGAAAAATTGTGTGTCCTGAGTGCCACAGCTAGATCAATAATAGTTGGGGACTGGTCCTGCTTTGAGCAGGGGGTTGCACTGGATGACTTTCTGAGGTCCCTTCCAACCCTGATATTCTATGATCAACCTAATTCTGATGGTGACCTGGCTACCTGCCTCCCAGAAAGGGGGGTTAACTAGAGAGATGGAAAAAACACTTCCGTCAGTGTAGGAAGTATCTGCAGTTCAGCACTTGAGTGACAGAGTTGAACCTGTGCTGCTGTATTGGCTGTAGTATAGGCATACCCTTATTCTTCCTGAGGCCTACACCTAAAACAGAGCTGTGAAATATTTAGTGAGGTCGATCTAACCCAGGAATCTCAAACTCAAATCACCATGAGGGCCACATGAGGACTAGTACATTGGCCCGAGGGCCACATCGTTGACACCTTTTCATACAACGATACAAAAGTATAGTCAAAAATGAAAAAAATGAAGAGTATGCTATTAAAAGTCAATGTATTAACTTTTTAAAAATTGTAATGTGAAGAGGGGTTTTAATAAAATATAAACACCTGTAATTATTCCTTATGTGGTCAGAGGAAAGCTTGGCTCCTATGGTGGGCTGCAGAAAATAACTTCACGGGCTGCAGCCGGGCCATGTGTTTGAGACCCCTGATCTCACCCCCCGATGTAGACACAGCTAGGTCAATGGAAGAATTCTTCTATCAACCTAGCTACTGCCGTTCCCAGAGGTGGATTAACTGCACTGATGGAAAAGTTTGGGTCCATTTCAATGAGGACAACCAAGCCTGCAGAACCTGGCACATGGGGCCTAACCCAGAGGCTGTTGTTCTTCTGCGCTCTGCCTCTTCCCTGAGCAGCATGGGCAGCAGGCAGACAAGGGTTACGCACAGCACAGCTGGCCCTCTTCTTGTTATCAGATCAGGGCTCGGCCCAAAGTTTGAAAACCTCTGTTAGATCCAGAAGTGATGAGTAGGGTGGTCACGTGCCACCGTCTCCACTATCAACAGTCACACATCACCCCTATCCGCATTGCCTAGATGACAAATCAATGATTTCTGTTTACACAACATATTCCATGGTGAATGAACAATGCCGTAATATTCACATTGCATAAGCATCAACATAAAAAATCTCACTGCTTTGCAACAGCAAATCAGAAGTGACATCCGTTTTGACGGAGACGTATTTGGCAGGTGGAAGTGGAATATATTTTTACAGTGTGTGAGCAAGTTATACTGAAAATGAGTAAGTTTTTAAAACAACCTTATACTAGTCCTGCTAGTTGTGCTGAAGCCATGGACAATGCAGTCAAATAGTAAGAAACAAACGAAGTACAGAAAGTTTGACGAAAGTTATACTGATTTTTGTTTTATGGAATTCAGTGATTGACAACCGCGATGCATCATATGCTTACAAATCCTATCAAATGAAGCAATGAAACCTGCAAAGTTGAAATGACACATCGCAACAAAGCACTTAGAGTATAAAGATAACTGCAGAGACTTTTTTCAGTGAAAGAAAGAAGAATCTAATTAACAGAATACTCAAATGACAAACATGACATTGGTTCTGTAAAAGGCTCTGAAAGCATCTTTCTTAACAGCACTTCTGTGATGCTCACAGATGGTCAACTTGGGTATGACCTAGAACTTAACAAGACACATTGAAATGTAACCAAGACAATCTACTTGTATGTGTATTTCAAAGAGATGTCCTAGACCAGCAATCATTAACCCATTTATTTGTAGTAATAGAAATCACGGGTAGATGCTAAGTGTATTTGTCTGTTTTTACCTGTATCTCATTAGAAGTTTAACAAATGTGATCTAATTAGCTTGTAGATGCTAATCCTGTTCCTGTCTCATAATGCTGTGTTCTATGAATTCAGAGGTCAAAAGGGAAAATTATTATTTAGATGGGACTTGTGGTATAGTAATATAATTATCCTAATCTCTCCTTGAAGTTTGTAATTCCACATAGTAAACTACGTGTGAACTGTCTTGACAGTTCGACTGGCTAATTGCCTTATGTGACTGAACACAGGTAGTTCATCTAAGCAGGCCAATGCTCAAACCACTAAGCTATCCCTCCCCCCATAAAATAGAAAATTAGCTTCAAAGCAACAATCTGCACTGCCTATTCTTCCTTGGGAGAAGATGCTGCTGTGATAATTGCTGTCAAGAAGTTTATCAATTTGCTAGAAGACTTTAAAGAAAATGTCCCAGGGCTTGATCCTTTTTTACCTCAGGTCTGCTTAAACTTTGACAGGGAAGGTCTAAACCACAAGACTAAACCACCTCCCTCTGCCCCTGCATCCCCACTTCCAAGCAGCCTGACCCCACCTCACCCCTTCTCTGCCTCTCTCCTCTTCCTGTAGTTCACAGACCTGGTGCTGAGAGCTGAGAGAGGAGGGGGTGATGGGGGGCAGGCAGCTGATGCTTTTTACACCATCCCCATGGGAACAGGCCTGGGGGCTGGTCAGTGGTGGGAGGGGACAGTCTCTGCTGTGGGTGTCACTGTGAGGGACAGAGATTCCTTCAGGCCTTCTCTGGGACCGGGCAGATTATCAGGGGATCTGCATTTTTACCCCCTTCATTGAGACAAGGACTGAAATAAGGGCGGAGCATCCCAGAGAAGGTGTCAGTGAAAGTGAAGAGATGGGACCTGTCAGTCACATTGTAAAATGAGATCTCGCCCCCCTCATAGTCCAGGAAAATCCCCACCCGGCTGGGCCTGACGCTCACGGGGAGAGAAGTTAGGGGGGAAGTGCGGGCCCAGTATTTTTCTCCATCTCTCAAACACACCACAAAGTATCCATTCTTAGATGTGACACTGATACTCCCCTTCCTCCTCACAGATTCCCTACAAACCCCCAGAGTCCACTCAGGCTTCTTTCCCACCTCCACCTCCCAGTAATGCCTCCCGTCTATGAACTTTTCAACGCCCAGAACAATGACGTAAGGTTCAAATCTCTCAGGGTTGTCGGGAAGATCCTGCCGTATATCTCCATGTCTCACACTTTTCCGATCCTCAGACAGGACGAGGTTAGACTGAGCTGTGGCTGGATCCAGAGTCACGTTCACTGGGGAGAGAGTCACAGAGTCAGTGTCGGGGGCAGGTGCTGGGATCCAAGGGAAATTAACCTTCTTTAATCCCTAATTATAAAATCACTTGCCCAGAGGGGGAAATGGAGGGAAAATATTAAATACCCCTTCCCCCCAAGAGGCAGTGAGACTTTCACACCCAACCTGTTTATTTCCAGGGGAAGGAGACAGAGGGGTTGATTTAGTGCAAAATAAACACAAAATACCCTATCCTTGGGGTCTCGTGGCGTCTGTGTCTCCAAGTTGCTTGGTATCTGAGCAGGACTCAAGTGTGAGGAAATAGACCGTATGCGCAGAAGCATGCACACTGATAGGCTGAAAGATGCTAATAGCTGCAATCAGGGGTAAGGGCCCCACATTTTCCCTGACCACCTTCTTGTTGCTAACATACCTGTAGAAACCCTTCTTGTTACTCGTCACATCCCTTGCTAGCTGCAACTCCAATTGTGCTTTGGCCTTCCTGATTACACCCCTGCATCTTTGAGCAATATTTTTATACTCCTCCCTAGTCATCTGTTCACGTTTCCACTTCTTGTAAGCTTCCTTTGGTATCCAGCTGCCGAGCATGGCTGAGAGTGAGACAGAGAGACAGCCGGCCCCAAGCACCTTGCAACCCCCTCAGCCCCTTGGCACTGAGATCTGGGAGACCAGGGGGTGTTGACAGCCACAAGGGGACAGGTACCTGATGGGAAACATGTCCAGCGAGGGCTGCAGTCTTCCTGGGGCCAGCCTTGAGGGGCTCTCTCAACCCATGAGATCTGTTTTGCTGTAACTTATAGTCAACTAAACTCACTTTACAAGTATCCACCCCGCTGAGGTTACTAGGGGTACGTCTATACTACCCGCCGGATCGGCGCGTAGTGTTCGATGTATCGGGGATCAATTTATCACGTCTCATCTAGACGCAATAAATCAATCCCCAAATCGACGCCCGTACTCCACCTCGGCAGGAGGAGTAAGCGGAGTTGACAGGGGAGCCGCGGTGGTCAACTCACCGCCGTGAGGACTGCCAGGTAAGTCCAACTAAGATACTTCAGCTTCAGCTATGCGAATAGTGTAGCTGAAGTTGCATATCTTAGTTCGAACCCCCCGCTAGTATAGCCCAGGCCTCGGGTGGAAGGATGGGCTGAATGCTCAAGAGGAGTTAGGCATTGTGATGCTCAGCCTAATTATAGGTGCCTGGAGAAATTGCTGCAACTCCCAAAGCCTGAGCCAGGCACTCTCTAAAGCTCCTATAGGCGCCTGAAGCCTGTGACTTCCAAAAGTCATCATGCTAGGCAGAGATAGATGCACATGTCTGGACACTCACATGTCAGCTTGTGAGTCTGAAGCTGGGAACCCTCTGTAGAGCTAGGCACTGATGTCATTTTAGCATGGGGGAGGGGGTTGCCCAACTTATAACCTTTAGCCCAGAGGCCAGGACATTTACCCGGGATGTGGGTGAAACAGGTTTAATTTTCCCCTCTCTGCAAGAGGGCGAGAAAGTATTTGTGCAGGCATCTCCCACCTCTCAAGAGAGGCTCTAATCACTGAGCTATGGGCTATTCTGATGTGTGATTCCTGCTGAAACTGTTTCACTGTGATTAAGTAATGAAAGAGGGATTGAAGCGGGGGCCTGGGTCTCCTAGCTGGTACCTAATTACACCCCAGAGTCATTCTTATTCTCTCTGGACCAATGTTTGGATTACCCGGGGTCCTCTCATGAGAGGTGGGAGACACCCCCACCATTCAAACCTTTTCTCCCTGTCAGGCAGATAGGGGGAAATGAACCTGGGTCTCGCATCCCAGGTAAGTGACAGCCACTGGGCTACAAGGGACAAGGTGGGTCCTACCACCACATTTTGAATGTGACTTGATTCAGCAGGTGGCCTCTAAAAATGCCAATCAGATTGGGCCCCACATGCGACTTAGGTGGCTAAATTCCTGTCTTTGCCTGATTTGGGAATCTCTGGGGTTGAGGTGGGAGATAGGTGCTTGGACGCCCAAAGGGAGGCAGTGGTGCACATGCCCAGAGGCCGAAACAGACATCTAGCAAACTTTTATCCTCATAGTTTAGGCACCTACAGGGCTGAAGCAGGAGTTTTGTGCATCTGGCCCAAAATTGGGACTTAAGCACCTAACTTATGAACACAGGACTTATGAGGCGAGGCTGAGGGAACTGGGATTGTTTAGTCTACAGAAGAGAAGAATGAAGGGGAATTTGATAAATGCTTTCAACTATCTGAAAGGGGGTTCCAAAGAGGATGGATCTAGACTGTTCTCAGTGGTAGCAGATGACAGAACAAGGAGTAATGGTCTCAAGTTGAAGTGGGGGAGGTTTAGGTTGGATATTAGGAAAAACTTTTTCACTAGGAGGGTGGTGAAGCACTGGAATGGGTTACCTAGGGAGGTGGTGGAATCTCCTTCCTTAGAGGTTTTTAAGGTCAGGCTTGACAAAGCCCTGGCTGGGATGATTTAGTTGGGGATTGGGTCCTGTTTTGAGCAGGGGGTTGGACTAGATGACCTCCTGAGGTCCCTTCCAACCCTGATATTCCATGATTCTATGAACTTGTTTTGAGCATCCAGATCAGGGACTATAAAAGGGAGGTACTAGATGTGCTTTCATTCATTTTAATGGAGTGAGGCTGCCAACTCTTTCTGGTTATGGGGTGGTGCAGGATGGATTCATTTAAGAGATTTAAATAAGTGATTTTAATCATGATTTAAATCAGCAAGCAGGAAGCCTTGATTTAAATCATTGATTTTCATCATGTTTCGCATTTGGACTTTTTAGTTATTTTCTTAAAGAAAGATTGATTCTTATTAGTTGGTAACAATTAAAACATATTGATTCACTTGGTGCTTCTTTTTGCTAACCAGGAGGATATGCTATGGCCCAGACTCTAAAGGTATTTAGGCTCCTAACGTCCATTGAAATCAATGAAAGTTAGATGCCTAAAAATCTTTGAGGATCTGGGCTCATATCACATATTTAATTAATCAGCTACATAGCTTAATTTACATTTATTCAGATGCTTATTTTTTTCTTCTTTTGTTATGTTAGAAAATGGTGAATGATGGATTTCTTATTTAATAAATTCATTTTGTACTTGTGATTCAAGTTCTCTAGATGCCTATGTTTCAAGTTCTATTTGGATGGAAATTAAAATTCAATTAAAATCCACAAAGTTTTTCTTTAATTAAATAAAACTACCTTAAAAGTGTTGAATTCGTACAAAAATGTTTGCCAAAACATGTTTTGCACTTAAAACTAACAAATTATTATCTGTACTTAACGAGTTGAACTGGTTGTTCCTGGTCGCCGTGTCCTTCAAGACTTAGAACAAGTAGATCTCATCCTCTCACCCTACTTTATATTCATAGTTTAGAAAACAAACTTTCCTGATTTTTCAACACACAAATAATTTCTTAACTTTGAATGAACTAATCATTGAAATGAATCAGTTAAATAAACCTCAATGAAGAAAATACTCTTTCTGCACCTGTAGAAGAGGCTACTGTTGTCAAAGCTGGATCAGCACTTTGTCAAATCTGGCTCCAAGAGCTTAGCCAGTGTCTGCCTCCATTTCAGTAGTTTGGCTTTCTTTAAAACTTTGCAGCAAACATGTACTGCTTAAAATTATGTGTTGTATTCAATTACATGATTTTAATAGATTATAATGAGTTTTGGCCTCAACATAAGTTGTCAATTTAAAATTTAATTTTAAATAAGTTTATTTAAAAAAAATAAATCTGTATTTAATTTAAATGAAAAAAATCTGTTGTTGTTTTTTAAATAAAAACAAAACCCATAGATTTTTATCCCCTCTGATGTGGTAGTGGGGGAGGGTTCTATCAACCGGCATCTTGGCGGAAGCTTGCAGGAAGGAGCCAGGGAGGAAGGAGGAGGAAGACAAGTCTCATTGAGGCCTGGTCTATGCATGGGGTGATAGTGGGGGGTGGGAAGAGGTAAGATAAAACAATAATTCAGCCTGATTTTAATGAAACATTGCCAGGTCCTGGGGTGACTAATGACTGAGTCAGATACTGTGCCTGTAAGTCTTTAGCAGTTAAGTTGTACCAGAGAGACGGAAGCTGTATTCTGTAGTTAGTATACTTTTCTCCCAACGGGTGTGTTTCTTTTGTTCACTAAAGAAACAGTTTGGACTTTGACAATAACAGCTCAAATGCTATAGTCTGTAATTGACTCTTTCAAAAAGGGTATTTAATACCATCTAACGTTTATCAAGTCAGAACTTTTCCCTCTGAAAGACTCCATACACTAAAGGGAAATGGAATATAGGAAATTGTTAAAATGAAGCCTTATTTAACTTTAAGTTTTAAATGTTTTAACTCACTTTTTCCTTCTTGTTATGTGTGATTAGTAAAAAGAGGCAGGGGAATTTTGACATAAATGAAATGTCAGCTTGATTTACCTGCATATATTTGGGCTCTTCTCCACCCTGAAACCAAGCATAGACACAGAGATGAACACAGTCTGAAGAAGGCACAATTTCTAACTAAGTTTTAATTATGAAAAAAACAGAACTTACGAAGTTCAGCCAAGAGTTTCCCTAAAACAAACAAAGAAAAACAGACATATTACTAGAGCTTGTGTTATAGTGCCTAGCCCTTTACATGATTCTTTATTATATGAATCCCCATAGCCTAGATAATTATCATAAACTAAAACCTTTTATTAACCTTAACTTAATGTTATTCCAAAAAAAAAAGCTGTAAAAAAAATAACCAACCCTTAAATGTCTGAATGCCTGGACATTCCAAATGAAGTTTCCATCACTGGCTTTTTTCCCAGCCACTATATCCGTGGCCACTGTCCACCTGTGGCTGGGAAGTGCCCTACACCAGCCATGAAGGGGTTAAAGAGCTTCTCTGGGCACAATCAGCCCCAACCCAGTACACTTGTGAGATATGTCAAGCCTGGAGAAGGGCAGGTCCTTAAAATGGAGGATCCCAGATGACTCTGGAGTAAACAGAGCAAGAGCTCCTTAGTCCCAGGGCACAAGGGTTGTTTACTGGATACACTCCTGAGAACATCAGCCAACCAGGCCCTCTGAGGAAGTAGAGGGACTGGCTTTTCTGTATGGAGCACTGGGTCCCAGCCTTGGTTGTTTGGACATACAAGGGACCAGATCTCCTCCAAGAGACTCTTGACCTCTACACTGTCTGAGACTGAGCAGACCTGGCCCTTTTTTGGGCTCTGGAGGCAGTCTGTCCTTTTCTTTTGGGCTGCTTAACCCCCTCCTCTCCTGAAGGGGGCAGGCTCTCTAAGAGGTACAGCTGGAGGGCTGTACCCTAAATCTGGAATCCAGACTACAGTAACTAGTCTCTGCCATCCAGGAAAGGACAGCAAAGATGGGAGGTGGTGCCCCTCTCACCCCAAGGGGGTGCTAGAGAGGTATAACCCATTGCACTACCCAATAGAGATTTGATAAATTTTACATCACTGATTATACAGTAAACGATGGTGTCACGTACACACACGTTCCCTCCTCCTGGCTGTGCAAATGGAATAGAGCCAGGTTCCCCTCAAGGGAAGATGGTGGCCCCTGACACATTGGAAAAACTGAAAAAAAATCTAATGTGTCTTTAGAAATAACTTTAATTTAGTCTCAGACCACAGTCACTATCATGCACTAACAGTAATTGTACAGTTAACACCTGGCATCACTAAATGTGAGAATTAAGGTTGTTTGGATGGTCTTGCTGTGTGCTTCAAGACCTTAGCTTGTTTGAGATTTCTTTATGCTGAATTAGTCAGGCTTGTGATGTTTGCTTCTGGGATACATAAAACATTCACCTTTGAGTTACAGATACATACTCCCAACCTGACTTCCAGTTTAATATAGTTTTTATCTGACACTAAAAATAGGTTTGGATTCATTAGTGAGATGTAAAGAATAGTTCAATTTGCTGCATTTCTCTCAGCTGAAACAGTTTCACCCAAGGAATCTCCCACTATTACTTTACCTTTCTCTCTGTGCTGCATCCAAAAATAGTAAATGGCTGGGGAAATGAGAAAACCCAGGACACTCAGGACCACAGCCAGAGCCACCATCCAGAGCGAAGTCCTTAGGAAAAACGGGTCTGGAAGAGAAAGCCTAATTAATTTGGAAACAGTGACAGAATCATGCCACCAGCAGGACTTCTGCACACAAAAGTAACATAATGTGATTGGGTGGGAGAAACTTTCCTGAGACTCTAAATCAGGGGTCGGCAACCTTTCAGAAGTGGTGTGCCAAATCTTCATTTATTCACTCTCATTTAAGGTTTTGCCTGCCAGTAATACATTTTAACGTTTTTAGAAGGTCTCTTTCTATAAGACTATTTCTATATAACTAAACTATTGTTGTATGTAAAGTACATAAGGTTTTTAAAATGTTTAAGAAGCTTCCTTTAAAATTAAATTAAAATGCAGAGCCCCCTGGACCGGTGGTCAGGACCCGGGCAGTGTGAGTGCCACTGAAAATCAGCTCCCGTGCCGCCTTCGGCACATGTGCCATAGGTTGCCTACCCCTGCTCTAAATAAATTCCCTACTGAGATAAGGTTCCTTCACATTTCACTCTGAAGCCAATGGAAGTGCAAGCTTTGACCTGTTACAGAACACTATTAGGGCCTACCTACACAGTGAGAAGGAATTCCGTGGTAACCAAGGCAGGGGTCAATCATATTGTAGGCAAATCCCTGGCATTTCTGTATTTGCTGTGTAGATTGGCCCTACATAGGCAGAAACTAGTCACTCAAAAAAACAAAAACACTTTGTTGATTTGCTTCTTCACCTGCAACATAGCCTTAATGCTGCTTCACACATGACATAATGCAATGCTTATAGAATCATAGAGGTTCACTGGAACACTGCAAGTAACAACTTCAGCACCACAGCCAAGATTGAACTTCCTGATAGACCCCGCAGATCAAATACAACATCATAATGTACAATACACCTACTTAACACTATGATAAAGATACAACTCCATCTATTGGTGGAAGTGCTGTCTACACACATCACCACAACATTCCTCTCTCTAGTGGAACAAGCATTTAAAACATTATTTCCTAATAGTTCAAGTAGTTTGCCATCTCTGGAGGTTTCCATGTTTCTCTGCCTTCTAAAGTTATATATATTTAGTCATGGAGACATTGCTCACCATTGGATTTAGATTGTCAGTGAGTGCAAAATTCATGTTTTCTGGGTTAGGCCTATTTGTTATGGCCAGACTGTCTGTTGAGACTACAGTATGATGGGGCCCCGAGGACACCCTGGCAATTCATAGAATCATAGAATATCAGAGTTGGAAGGGACCTCAAGAGGTCATCTAGTCCAACCCCCTGCTCAAAGCAGGACCAATTCCCAG